GGCCATGGTAATGACATATTGTTTAATACTAATAAGACTTTCTGTATGTATTTTCCATGTACTCGTTTGCCACTTCAGCTTCCATTGCCACCTGTAAGTCTATACGGTACCAACCTGAAGTACGTAAACTCATTTGTCTATTTGGGTATACACCTAAATACCACATTAAGTGACGATGATTGTGTACTTGCTATGCTGAAGAGTCTTTATAGTCGTGCAAACAGTATCAACCGCAAATTTTTCTGTTGCTCTCCATCTGTTAAGAGACACCTGTTTATGACGTATTGCGCCCAGCTATATGGCGCCCAGTTATGGAGCTCTGTAAGCTCTGGTGTTTTGTATAAGTGCAGAGTGGCTTATAATAATTGTTTTAGAATCATAATGAATCTGCCTCGGCGCTGCAGCGCGAGTGATATGTTTGTCTGTAACTATATTGACACTTTTGAAACCAGGAGGAGGAGAATTTGTTATTCTTTTCTAAAAAGGTTATTTTCCTCCAATAACGCAACAATCTGTCGCTTAATTCATTCCGATGCCTTCTACAGGAATTCATTCTTTCGGAAGACCTACCATTTGTTATGCTTTTAGGTTTCTTCCTGTTTTACTTGTATGTCTGTAGTGTTTTTGTATTATTTTAATGATGTATTGTACATGTTATATGGGTTTTTTTACCTGAAATAAAGAATGAATGAATGAATGAATGTATCCGCCATCTTGGATCACCAATCTTGAATTTTCAAAAATAGTTTTTTTTCATGATAAAGCCTAAAATACATTGTAAACATACTAAAGACCTTCATTTAAACCTTTTTTGGAAAAAGAAATGGAAGTATTGATGAAATTTTAATGAAAATAACCTGTATATACCTGTTCTAATGATATGGTCCGCCATCTTGGATTTTGGCCAATGACGTCATCAAATTAGCATAAATTATGCATATTTAATGATAAAATTTACATAAGATTATATGGGATGTTATTGATATTAGAAACCATGAGTAACTTGACATAAAACCCATAAAATTCTATTGTTGAAACAAAAAGTACTAAATTTAGCAAAAAATGCGTCAGAAACCCGTTGCCATGGCAACACAAAAAATTATTATCTTATTCCAATGATAGAGAATTGTTGCCAACAATATTCTAGGAAAAGTCACCAAGTTTGGCCGTTCTACGGCTAGCCGTTCAGACGCTAGGTGACATCAAAGTTGCCGCGGGCACTTTTAGCCCCCCCCCCCGGTCTAGGTAGGGTTAAGAGTGTGTGAAATCACAAAAATGATTGTAGACTAGACACTAGACGTAGATACCTTTAAGAGTGTGAAAAAACACCAAAATGATTGCAGATTAGACACTAGACATAGATAGACCTAGTTATTGCATTTGCCAATAAGCTGCGTTCGACCTACCGGCAGAGATGAGACCTTCGATGAAGTTGCTCTCGTCAGCGCTTGTGATAGACAAAAGATGTGCGCCGTACTGTTCACATCGGCTCTTTGCAGTTTGCCAATTGGCATTCATTTCCAATTTGTAGCAGTGGTTTCTGTACATATACCAAACAGAAGGACATTGTCTAGCTAAAAAAAAGAAATAACAAAGTGAGCGACGGATATTTTTTCATTTACATATAT